TGTCTGGTTGGTTTGAGGTGAGCAGAGGCACTTTGTGAGCTCTGCATGCATCCCAAATTCCCTACATGCAGAGCTACTGCATCCTTCCAACCACCCCCTCCTTATTTCCCTCACCTGCACTTGCCCTTAGACTTTTGGTCAATAGCTCACAGTTCTCACAGTTCCAAATCATCCTAAAAATACTCAACTTTGATGTCCCCTACCATTTTAAATACCACCTTGTGACCACTGAAATGTTTGAAAATGCTGTCCAGAACTACAGTCTCCATTTCCTGTCCTCCACTTCCATCCTAGATCTCTTCAGTCTGGCTTCCGTCCTCTATTCCACTGAAACTGCTGTCACTAAAGTCACTAAAAATTTCTTCATGGACAAATTACAGGACTCCTATTCCATCCTCATCCTCTTTGACTTCTTGACTGCTTTTGGCCCAGTTGACTGTACCTTCCTCCTTGAGATGATGTCCTCCCTGGCTTTTTATGAATATTGCTCCTCATTTCCCTCTGTCCTCCTTGGTTAATCCTTCATTGTTTCAATTTGTGGGCCCTTTTTCTCTCCTCTTCCACTAGTGACGGGGGTTCCACAGAGCTCCCCCCTTGGTTTCCTTGTCGTCTTCTACTGTGTGCCACACTAGGATCTCCAGTTCTCATTGGACTCAAGGCAGCCAAAGACAGACAGCAGAAATTGCTCCATAGCTTTCTGCACCAGGAGCATTCTGGTGAGTTGGGGAGAAGGCACAGTGGAGTGGAGATCTATTCCCTCCCCCACCATGCCAATTCTCCATTGTCATTAAGCCCTCTATGGATTTCATGCACATTAGAAGCTACTTCCCTACAGCTCTAACTAGCACTGGGGCCAGGCAGCTGAGGATCAGGGAATGCAAGTAGCCCTCTAGTGCCACTTCTGCACCTCAGGCAGTGATCAACCTTGGCTTCTTAGTCACTTGTGGGTGTGTGGCTGACCTCTCTCCTGGCTAGTCACTTAAGGAATGGATTGAGGTTTTTCACGACTTTATTAAAAGGCAATAATCCAGTGCCCTAACAGCATGATTGGTGCATATATTTCATCTGCCTAACTCTCTCCAGGATCCTCATCCACTCTCATGGCTTCAGTGCCCATTTACGCTGAGGCCTCACAATTTATTTCTCTGCATCCTATCTCCCCCTGTCCAATCCCACACCTTGGCCTGTCTCCCTGGCTTTTGCTTGTGTATTACCCAGGGCTGGCCTGAGCCATTCGTGCGCCCTGGGAGCGCAGTGCCGCCCCAGGAGTGCGACGCATGCGCAGCCCCACCCCAGGCACACTGCACATGCATGGCCCCGCCCTGGGCACGCGGAGCATGTGCAGTGCCACCCCCGCCCGGCCTGGCAGCCTCACGTGGCGCCCCCTACAGTGGGGCGCCCCGGGCAGTAGCCTGGTCAGCCCGTAGCTTGGGCTGGTTCTGGTATTACCACCTGCCTACACTCAACATGTCCAAAATGAAACTCAGTGTCACCTCTCTCCACTTTCTCCCTCTCCTTGTTACAGCTGCCAGTGCCGCCCCATCCTTCCCATTACTCAGGCCTGTAGCCTGCATGTCATCTGTGACTCTTAATTCCTCTCTCTGTCTAGCCCACAAATTGAGGCCAAAACCAGATCGCAACATTTCCTCCACCAGGACATTTCTAACATCCACACTCAACCATCTTGACTAATGCCCCTCCTATCTAGGCTTCCTAATTCCCACCTCAGCCCCCTTAACATCCATGCCATAGTACCACTGCTGTGCTGCTAAAATCATGATGCTAGGACCATGTCACCTCTCTCTTACAGCATCTCCCCTAGTTCTCCTGCTGCTTTTGCATTAGATTCCAGCATTGTAGCCTCTTCTTTAAGGACCTTCGGAACCCTTCCCCCACCCCACAAAACCATTCTTCCCTCCTTTTACATTGACCCCACCCTCAATGATTCCAGTCTCTTCCACTCATTTGTGTCTTCATTTTTGTTCTCCTCCATGCTGCCCCTATGCACAGAATGTTCTCCCCTACTAATCCATAAAACTACCATCCTCGCCTCCTTCCAGCCCAACCTTTGTGCCTTGATACCTGCAGTTAATGGCAATGGCTATAAGGATTGCCAATATAAATATTACTTTCCTTCTATCTAATAACATAAGAAATGAGTGTGCTGTAACTATCTAGGGGTATGTCTACACTACCCTCCTAATTCGAAATAGGAGGGTAATGTAGGCATACGATGAGTGTGCTGTAACTATCTAGTTGTGCAGACAAGCCCCTCTACATAATCTCATAGTGCTACTACGGTCACTCTTGTCCTCCCTTGCCTGTCCCTCTGGCTTCTTAGTTATACCCGCTTTTTGTATCTGAAATTGGATCTTAAGGTCTTTGGGCACAGATGGTCTCGCACTTGGTGTTTGCACAATGCCTAGCATAATGAGGACTCGG